TGTGTGAGAATAATTTTTGTCATTTTGATTTTTTTGTTGTTGTTGTAAATTTGCCACAGTTTACTAACAATACCTGTAGTAACTATGAAATTTTTGCTGATACTTTTATGGTTAATTTGTCCATTTGTTTTATCCAGGCTTGTGATAATGCCTGTGTGTGACATCTGCTGTGAAGAGCTCCTATCTGAGGCAGAGATGAGAACCCATATCCTCCTGAGTCACACAGAGAATGTGATGGCCTGCCCGTTCTGCTCTTTGTCCGGCGTCTCATATGACGAGTTGAACTTCCACATCAACACTGCACATATAGAGAAAGACTGCCAGGACACGAGTGCAACAGTGGTTGACAGTGGACAGAAAAGCTCAAATGACTGGATTGCTCAAAGTCCCAATTCTACAAGGACTTCCAATGTGAATGCGAAAAATATGGACAAGGTATCTCAAGCCTCGCCTCAGTCACCGAGTACAGGGACCTCTCTTTCTCAGGGAACCTCGACTAATCTGAAGAGTTCACCACCTGCAGCAACCACAGCGAATGGTGCAGTAAAACTGGTCAGAACTACACAAAATTCCAGCAACAACCCAAGCAAGGAGAGGGAAGATGGGCGGCGAAAATCAAAGCAGAAGCGTTTGTCCTCACCTATTAAAGGTGCTCTTGAGTTTACAACATAAAACTGACTTAAATTAGGCTTTTAGACTAATGTTTTCTCTTTGTGTGTTGCAGAAGGGTGCTTTGCATGTCCAATGTGCAGCTTGGTCTGCAAAGACTGCTTTATTCTGCAGGAGCATGTTGAGCTTCATCTACAGGACCAAGCTGAAGGTATCTTACCTCAAAACATAAATATCACTCTAGCAAGTATATTTGTAAGTTTACAAGTATTCATTTTACACTCTTTTTATCACCAGCTGACTATGATTGATGTCTGATATGGTTTGTCTTCTTAAGGGGCTGGTCCTGAGGTTGGCACTTCAACAGAAGTGTCTTCTACAAGCAGTGGTAGATCAGGTGAGTTAGCAAGGTGGTCGATTTGACAGTTCTGAATAAAAGTGAATGGCCAAACTGAACTATAACTGTATTTTTGGGATCTCCAGGTGTGATGCGCTATGAGTGTCCAATGTGTTCTCTGAGTTGTTCTAGTAGCTCCTCCCTTCAAGAGCATGTTGAGCTACACCTGGAATATGGCTCAGCATCTGTAACCGGGGTATGTGTATATTAATAAGTAAGCAACTGCATATTAATTTTATTCTAGAATTGTTGGTTAGTTACATTTTAGTTTAGAGATTAAAATGTTCTGTGGGTTCTGTTTACAAGTACAATGCATCAAAATGATAATAATCAATCAACATGAAATCTGTTGTAGCCACTGGTGCAGCGAAACTTGTGGTTTCTTAAAACATCTGACTTGGTGTTCATTTGATTTGGGTGTTTTGAGGACATTCATCTGAAGACCTGACTTTGGCCAGGAAGCTTCAGGAGGAAGAGCAGCAAAAGTGGAGGGAGGCTGCAACTAGACGGGAAGCAGAGGACTTTAAGAAGCTCCAGGTTAGCTAAAGAAAATGTCACTGGGAGATTTCTAGAAAATGTTCACCTAAAAAGTACAAATTTACACTTCTACTCTTTTCAGAAGCAGTTTGGGCTTGATAACAGCGGTGGTTATCGCAAGCAGATGGAGAGGAATATGGAGAGGGCTGTGTCTCGAGGTCAGATGGTTCCTGCAGAGTTCCACAGGAAAAAAGCGGAGATGCTTGAATCTCTGGCCTCCGGGGTGGATGATGGCAGAAGCAAAACATCAGGTCTGATTGAGAGTGCATCATACAGCTACACCAATAATCTTTACATATTTGGTCCAGCTGGTGAATTATTAGACTGAAAACCTGTTCAGATATTTTATCTTTTTATCTTAACAATGTTGAAAACAGATGTGCTTCTTATTATTTTGTGTAAAGAGTGATACATTTTTTTTTATAATTAAATTACTTGATAGATAATAATAAAAATTAATAGATACTTTTTTGTAACTTTTTTGTTTTTACTAGTGCTGTCAAACGATTAATCGCGATTAATCACATCCAAAATAAAAGTTTTTGTTTACATAATATGTGTGTATACTGTGTATGTATGTATATATATATATATATAAAGCACATGCATATATATGCACAAAAATAAAACAAAAAATATAAACATAAAAATGTTATGTTTATATATTAAATATATTTACACAAGTATATAAATTTATATACATGTAAATATTTTCTAAATATATACTGTATGTGTGTGTATTTATATATACATAATAAATATACACAGTACACATACATATATTACAAACAAAAACTTATTTTGGATGTGATTAATTGCGATTAATCGTTTGACAGAACTAGTTTTTATAGTCACTTTCAGTCAGTTGAATGTGTCCTTGCTGAATAAAGTTATTCATTTAAAAAAAAAAAAAAAATCTCACTGACCCAAACATTTGAACTGTAGTGCGTGTGTAAATATTTGTAATTAATATATACTTCATTATACTTTTAAAAAAATGAATTTAATGTATTTTATTAATTAATAATTTATAATAGTCATTAAAAATAATGCAGTATTATTATTAGGTTTTTAACTATAAAGCTGTTATTTTAATGTTGGAAAAAAACTGTGGAAAATTAAAATAAAGAAAACGGGTCAAGGCTTAGACTTGAGGATGATTTATACTTCTGTGTCGGACCTACGCCGTAGCCTTTACGCCGTAGGCTATGCGTCAGTTTTCATTTATACTTCTGCGTCGTTGTCCGC